TTTTTAATTACAGGCAAGCTCATGGATGTTGCAGTGAATACAGCCACTCGCCCCCTCCCAATTCCAGACACAAATTCTCCGTTCCCCAAATTACTGCTGACTGGCCCGGGATTGGGTTTTATTGCAGACAAGCAAGGCAATTCTTTGAGGGTGAGGTTAATTCAAGAAGCCCCATGTAGAGCCTTATCCTGCAAATGGTTAAATGCTTAACCATACCTGCAAAAATTAGTCAAGTGCAAAGCTACCTTTCTAAGGGTTTGTGGGACCGAGGCTGTAGCCCTCTCTTCCCCCCTAGTTTCCCCAGTACATTTCCCTGATGGAAAAAAAATGTGAAGTTGATGAATCTGACTATGACTTGTCCTGTTTTCCTTTTAAATATAAAACCAAACTCAAGCTGTCTAAAGATTGTGCTGTGTTCATTTATGGAATTAATTCAAACATCAGGATTCTATTAATTAGAGAAAACAGCAGATTTGTCCCAAAGTGGCAAACCTCACAATATCAAAGTAAGTCTCAAAATATTGAAATTAAAAAATCTGCTCCTACTGCCTGGTCAGCAAACAGACCCTAGGAAAACCAGTGTGCACGCTAGGAAACAAATCAGTGCATTAAACGTGTGTTATCCAAGACTTCTGATCTTTCTTAGCTGCTGGTTTAGGAATACAAATTCTACTGCATTAAGCAGAAAAAGGGAATAGATATTTTTATTTAAAACAGAGTAACTCAAAGCGGCCGTAATAACCCATTTGTGTTGCTTTTGTATTTGGGTAACGAATGACTGTTGTATAGAGTGCTCCTAGTTTTTGCCTTGAGGTCTTGTCAATCATTACCTGATAAATAAAAACTTCAAACAGGCTCCTTTTAGCTTAATTGGGCAGAATTTCTCTCCAAAGGAATGGCTGAATACAGAGAATAATGTGTTTGTGGCAGCAATGGAAGTCAGCAAGCAGGGTATTTGGATGGAAACATACAGAGGATGCAAATTCTGGACTTAAAAGATGAGTCTTTTTGGTTTTTCTTATCCAGAAAGTGTCTGTTCCCATTGCAGGCAGAGCTGAAGGGATTGAATAGAGCAGCAGAGGACATCGCGCGGTCCTTGGCAACACGCTGAGCTGCGCTTGTGAGGGCTCTGCTCTCCCTCTCTGGTTTTAGGCTTTACAGCTGACACTTCCATAAAAATCAGAAATCTTAAAATTACACTAAGGCTTACTTAAATAATTATCTTTTATTACATGAACGTTGGCAGCAATGGAGGCAGTTTCCTGTGTAGGGACAAAAGGATCCTATTGTCAGTACTGGAACAGATCTAAACCAGCTCAATTAAGCAAACATAACATCCTCAAAGTTTGGCCTGAAAGGAAGTTAAAATAACTGATCTATAAAATGTTTTAAATGTGCTTTAAAATGTCATTACTCAGATAAATCTAGCCGTTTTGAAGCTGGTTCACTAGACTTTTAAGGTCCTGCCAGTTTATGGCAGCATACGTATTCACGTCAAGAATTCCTCTTCCAGAACAGTAGATGAGGAGACAAAGCCACAGTAGCGCTGCGGACCGAGGGGAGGCTGCAACCGGCTCAGGAATGGAGTTTTGGCTCCCAGGCTGGGAAAGCTGCTGCGAAGCATATCCAGCAAGTTGTGTGTGTTTGTGGCAGAGCTGGAAACCAACAGATATTTCATGATATAAGGCTGGACGTGTTGAAGTTAGTGGTAAAGCTTCTGTTGGCTGCAAGACTGGCACTGCAAAGCAGGATGATTTTTCTTTGGGTGGGGGGGTGGTGGTGGGGTGTTTGTTTGAATTTTTCTTCTCCTTGCTGGAACACCTCTGACTAACACTGGGTCTAAATGCAGAGAATTGGGACAATACTGAGAAATACCAGAGGATCCTGCTTCTAAAATTAGTCCAGGCATACAAAAGCCGAGTAGGCATCAGTTTAGGTCAATAAAGGTCTTTCCACTGATGCTTTGCTGGACTTCAGATCAGTGCATGAAGCAAATTTACTTATGAATTTGTAATCGCTTGCGAAAGATGGTAGTTTAACTCCAAAATGCTAATGATTTAAGCCTCTGGATCAGCAAATACATCTACATAAACTGGCAGAACTCTGCTCACAGTTCAAGGTAAACAAGAACCCAAAAATTGCTGTTATGCCCTGAAGATACAATGTTTAGTTAATACAGGGATTTAGACCATTATTTTTTTCAGCTGCCTCCATAGCAATGCGGTGTGGTATCCACAGTAGGAAACCTCATGCCAGCAGCATCTCTGAAATATGCTAAAACAATCTAAATTAGAAAATGTCAGCTTCTTGGCTGATGTTCCTTTGGAGTTTCTTTTTTCCTTTCTTGTGCCTCTATAATTTTATTGGGATGACTAAATCTCTGAACTATGTTAGCAGTAAACAGAACTAATTTACCCCCTGCTTCTCTGAAACAGCTGCTGACAGCTGCACTATAATTCAATCATGGATCTTCGCACTGCAGTCTGCAAAACATATTCATATTTTTGTATTCTTCCCTCTGTTGTATTTGGACTGAAGGAGTCGCACCAAATAGTGACGTGTGCCAATTTTGCCCATACATAGAGATCGATCTACATGAAAACAGAGGCTCAAGATGAAATACTGCCCAGCCAAAAAGGTTCTTTGAATATAGGGAGAATAACCACACGGATGCACAATGCTGTTGAGATATCTTTTGTAAAGTTGCAATGATTTATTTTACTAGTTTGTACAAAAGGCTTCTGACAACTGCTCTATGAAAAGAACCAGAAATGTGTAAGCATTTTTGCCAACTGTTAATAAATATCTTCTTAAATAAGGAAACAAATGTGCTTAGGAACTGAGAATCATTTTTCCTGGATGTGATTGAAAAGAAATTCAGAGATGGAAATAAATAATTCTTCTTCCGCTTGTGACAACTATTTACATAAAAATGTACAAACAGTGAAGCTGATGTTGAGCCTAGCAACAGAAATCCTGTTATGTTTAAAAAAAAACAAAACAAACAAAAAAACCCCAAACAAAACCAAAACAATCCCCACATAATATTTAATATATGAATCCTATACAGTGAGATACCATGGTCCAAGTTAAAAATGCAATACACCAACACAGTGACCACTGACACTGAAACACCCACAAGAAAAACTAATCCTTGACTACTAAATAGTGGAAGTTTAGGCATGATTAGCTTTTAACTTTCTAGGCAGCACCTTAACTTCCTTTAGGAGGTTTACAGAAGCACTGGTGTATACACATATACAGTGTCAAAAGACACTTCTAATCTGCGTGATTTCAATACCTCACTCTAAAGAAGAGATGCACTGAGGGCAGTTTTGGCTGTTTACCATAGATGGTCTTGTCTGCAGGCTCCAGGGAGAGATGGTCTTTTGGCTTCAGCTGTTGTCCTGCCATTTGGCTGTCTAAATATTTGGTCAAAGTCTCACCTCAGGGCAGTTAGGAAGTTTGCTGGAGTCGTGCTTGCGGAGTGTGTGCGCTGCGGCCAGGCTGGTCCGGCAGATGTTTGAGTCACCTGGGTTGGAAGCTGGGCACATCTGGCAATGTGGCAACTGCTCACCAAGGTCCTTGACCAAAACCTACCGATGTCATGGAGAAGCTTCCACTTTCCCATAAGCCTAACCCTGCTACTGAGAAAACTGTTGGGAAAACACCAATTGACTTAAATGGGATTAGAATTAGACCATCAAAAACAAGTTTCCAACTTTTTTCATAGATGGCAATTTTTTTCTTCCTTTGCTTATTCTTTATAAAGTGAGGCATCTGGTCTGGATTTGGTCTGTGACTTAAAGGAAGAAGAGCAGTGAGTGATTTCCAGAATCGGGCGGTTGTGTTCATTTATCTTCTTTCTCTAACTCTCCTCTAAGGCAAGATATGGAGCCAAGCTCCCACTGTGGCTGCATCGCCCTGTCCGCTCACTGAGCAGAGAGAACTATCTCCAGGGATTTATTATGTTCTGGACCCATCTGTTGGAGGTTTAGGTTTTTAAAGTTTGGAGATTTAGAGCTGGGTGTGCTGTGGACCTGGTGTTTTATTGAACAGAATTTTCTTCTTTATCTCCCTGCTGAAATTCATGCCAATCCTGCTTTTGTAATAGCAATGTATGCCAAAGCATTGAATTGGTTTGTGATTGGTTACTGCTACTTTGTATTCTTATTCACAACAACTTTAATTGCATTTTAATTACATAAGTGTGATGTTTGTGTAACCTGTGACTTTAAAAGAAGAAAAAAGAAAAGCCTTGAGGGGACGTTTTCTTGCTCCTGGTTCCAGCTTGTTGGTGTGGCTCTTGAAAGGGATTTTTTTTTTTTTTTTTTTTTTTTTTTTTTTTTTTTTTTTTTTTTGAGAAGGTGAAGCCAATAATAGAGCGAGGGCTTTATTGTAAACACTGACCCTGGGAAGGAAGGTTTCCTAGCTGGTTTCTAGCTGAGTCTGTGTGGTGCTGGGTGTACGTCCCAGCTTACAGCACCTTCTGCGCTTGAGCCTCCACGTTTTCAAAAAAGCGTTGGAACTTGTTCTGTCAGTGAAGTCAATGGACATTTTCCAAACAGGAGCAGGATCTTTAGCTGGCTTTCACAACTCCGTAACTGCTTAGGATACCCCAGCTAAACGTTAGGTTTAATCCTTGTTTCTTAACATTTTGCTGCTTTCATGTTTCAAGTTCATAGCAAATTCAAATTCTTTCTGGTTGCTAGAGGAAATTTCCTTCCCTGTTGACAGAAAAAAGTATAGCCAAAAAGACTTGCTCTTTGGAATTATTTTCTTCAGTTCTTTTACTTGCCAATTAGAAAATCCTTTCTTTTTTTTTTTCTTCGACTGATCTGTCCTTTGAATTTGCATCAATCCAGATAAAGTTTTTGCTACTATAGTTTAAAACTGGAAGTTGCATGTAATCTTTGTTTTGCTTATAAAATTGAAGCAAACAGAGGGATGGAAGTAGTAATTCTCTAACAAAATACCTGTTCACTCCAGGTATATTTTGTTCACTTATTTTATTGCAAACTGTGTTACAGGAACTACACATGCTTATTAGTCACAGCACATTCTCACCTTGGATAGATTATTATTTTTTAACTCACAATCAACACTGGTGAGTTTGCAATCTTCAGAAAGACTTGTTTGCAAAAGTACGTATTGTAGGAGCCAATTTTGTAGGCAGATTTGGTTTTAAATGGTTTCTCTGGCTTGTTTCAGTTTACAAGCTCATTGTCTGTAATAAACTAAAACAAAATGTGTTCAAATGCCACTTAGATCCAGAAACTGTTCCATTGTGTGAACTTTCAGAAGCCTGGTCCTAAAAACTGTTTGGGATTTTTTTTTAAACCCATTGCTGGAGAGTTAACCTTTCCCCCTCCCCCCCCAGCCGTACAAAACCACTCTTTACAAATAACTTTTTTTCTTTCCTACAAATCTAATGACAGCCACATGCTCGTACCACCATGTTCCTGTATTTTTTTAAGATAACATTGGAGCTGTCATCAAAATAGAGCACTGAGATGGCATTGAGTTGTGTAGGAGCACAGCAGGGTTTCGGCACAGTCTCTGGGTTTATAAAGTGAACCTGGGGAATGAAAGTAGAGGCATGTTAAGATTTACTTTTCCCCTTTCTTCCCCCATATTTTTCTTTCCCAGGCAACCTTCTGTCTGTCCCATACACTCACTCAGACATGTTTCCAGCACCTGGCTTTGTGTACAAACGTCTTGAGATGTCCCCTGCATGTACAGAGGCTGACGCACGCACCCCAGTCAGATCTAGTTGGAGATCTTTCAGTGAGGCAGGTTTTCATTAGAAAATTCCCATTTGTCACAGCAGTCAGCGTTCTGCAGAAGTGTACCAGTTACGATAAACTCTGCAGGACAGGCGGGTGAGGTTTTGTGAGAAATCCCATCAGCCTGGGGCGGGGGCCCCTGTCCCTGCGGCTGGCAGCACCGAGACCCAGATGGGGCCAAGGGCTCTGGGTCCCCTGCACTCCCTGCTGCGGGACCTTTGAGGAGAGGGGGAAAAAGCAATCTACCAGGAGAAAAACACGCAGGTATTTCTTCCCTTGGAAATGTGGACGCTTCTAGTTTCCCTAATATATTTTGCAATGTTGTCCTTAGATGCGCACAGGACATGGAATGTAGATGAAAAGGTGGAGTGAGCCTCCTCATGCCCTGCCGATATGTGTAGGGAGCCCGGGCTGTCAACCTGGACCCAAGCTGGGTAGGGGAAGGGCGTCCAGGCAGGTCAGCTGGGGGTGCTGCACAGCCAGAGTACTCAGGACCAGCATGTCTTCTGGCCCGTGCTAAGAGCTGTGGTCCACTGGCTTTGGTGACACAGCTGGGGCTGGGTGGCCCCCAGCCAGCAGTCCCCCTGAGCACAGGCACTGTGTCATGAGGACACGCCAGCTCAGGCCTCCCATCTGGACATCTTTGCACGATTTCATAACACAAATACACCCACAGAGCAGCTGGGCTGTGTAATTTTGAGATTCACTGACCCCTTCCTCAGCCTGTCCCCAAATCCGCTTTTGGCGGCACCCTACAGCGGATCCTTACAGAGTTTTTCCAGGAGATGCTGATAGTGGGTCTCACATCCTGCTCTTTCCTTCCCGTGCAGTGGGACTAAACCACCATTAAGATGTCTATCATAGGGCCTTTTGAAACTAGAGAGAGCATGTCAATGCTTGCAGCAAAGACAGGGTAATTCCTAGCCAACTATTAATTCAGGCCACTTGGCTAGACACGTTTAGCCAGATGCTGCAGGCATCTTAATGAGCTAATGCAGACCTTCCTTCTCTTGTTAGCTTAGAGATTTTTTTCTTGTGTATAAGCTTATTTCTGAGTAGCACCTATCAGAAATAACTCTGTACTAGGAGCTACAGCGCACCTACCAGTGTCTGTACAATGGCATGGTTTGTAGCATTCATGTATGAATTCAATGGGAAAGCACATTCTCCTTCACAGTAATACGCAGCATAGCCCTCCGGAGCGATGATCCAGTCCTTGATTGAATTGAAGATGTTAGATTATGGAGAAAGACAGAAATGTGGTGCAGTGAAACAAAAAGTAGAACAGCACAAAAATCTGACAATTCATATGTCTGCACACAACTACAGTAGCCTGCAAAATAAAAATCTGGTACTCTGGCCTTTCTAATGCTATCTTATACACCTCTAAAGCGGCTGCTTTTCCTGGAGGGACATATCCCACTTTGCAAACATGCCCGTAATGTAGCTGGGTTTAGTTGTTTATCCATTCAGCAGTGTCCTCCTGGCTGTCCACAAGGGTCGCTTCACCCATTGCTGAAATGCAGGTACAAGCTTTCAGAAACGAAAATGTCTTTAACCAGGTCTAAAAGAACTGATAGATGAAAATGGAGAGCCGTACGTGCGTTCAGCACTGCCAGAGGAAATTCAGGGGGCCGCAGTTTCTCAAAAGGACCTAAGTGTGTGAGCTTCTAGCCAGTCTCACACTAAATATTTGTATACCCTGACTTTGCAGAAGCACTTCTTAGGCATGCTACAGGCAATATACAATTCTTTCCCCCAGGGATAAAAGAAAAAAATCCAGGTAGTGGCTTGTTCTCACTATTGCAGCTCAATAAGTGATGTGCAAAGGCACCCCAGCTCACACCCCGGTCAAGCACAGCCCTTACCTGCCACCCCAGGTCTCTGAAGCTAACGTAGAGCTCGTGCTTCTTGCAGGCTTGTCGCTGGTCGCTGCTGCTGTTCTCTGCACAGGGGGAAAGGGAGTCTGTAGGTCTGTAAGGCTGGGCTGCCCCAGCACCCACAACCCTCAGCAATGCCCCAACAGGGCGTGAGGCATCACTGCTCATCTGTTGCACTTGTGGCTTTTTTTTTTTTTAAACATTTTCAGTTTTAGTCATAAAACGATGGCTGGGTTCAGTACGTACGAAATGCCCCTCTGGCTTTTTGTGCAAAGCCAAAAAAGGCCTGGGAAAAATAGCTTTTTTTTTTTTTTCTTCTTCCCTGGGCTGCTTCTGACCTCATATTAGCAAAAAGCAGATCTCTGATTATTGCCTACTGTATAAAATGGGAACCTGTGAAAGGAGCGATAGGGAAAGGCACTGTTTACTTATTTTCTAAATTTCTAACTGTCTTTGAATCACCTGCATTACTGGTGATAGTTGCACCTTCAGGCCTACAAAGGCAACATATGACATTAAGGCAATGTGAAATCTGTTCTTCTGTCCAGTGCAGCTGGATCCAGATTACAGACTTCTTGCAGTGGGTGACAATGCTGAAGCCAAAGAATAAAGTGTGGATCTGAACAACCATGACTATCAGTGCAGTTTTAAAGTTGTCCATCCTCGACATATAGCCTGAGCTGGAGACTCAAGTAGAAGTACCAGAAAATATTCTTTTGACTCTTCTTGTTGGAAACTAACTCAACATGGGGTCCCCAAGCTGGAAGCAGGACACTTGTTACAGGGACTTTTCTAACCTACTCACAGAAGTAAGAAATTCTTTCGTCCGTTACCCATCCTTTAAAAATTGCATTTTAATTTGCTAAAAATAGCAAATAGATGATAAAAATGCACACTTAAACTGCAGACCATCTATGCTTGGGGAACTGCAAAACCCAGAGCTCTGAAACATAAGCCATGGAAAACCATTTTAAGAGAGACTAGGATTTCGGGTGAGAAGTACAGAAATACATATATGTGGGCAGCTCAGAGAAGCCATACCTATCACCAGGGCTGCAGAAAAACATCATTAGTTCTAGGACAGGAATGGCCCAATTAAATATTGGGAAGCTGCAACAAGACTAATGGGAGAGAGCTCTCCCATAGCCTTGCAGGTAACCCCAAGCAAGGGGGGTTATATTAACGAGTACCTCGGGTTGCAGGTAACACCAACCCGAGGCGAAGGTGAGTCGCCTAAGACGATACTGGTCCCTACGTTGTCCTTTTCCTTCCACCTCTTGCAAGCTCTCCTTCCATTCAGTGAAGCGCTCGCAGAAATAGAGCTGGAATTTGCCACTGCCCTCAGTGAGCTGGCCCTGCGCTGCAGTTCCTGCTGGGAAGGTCACCAAGGGCCTGTTATTCTGAGGTATCTCGTAATTAAGCCACGTTTCTATTTCAAATGCCTGATGGAGTTTTCTTCCATATTAGGAAGCACAGCTCCCCCCAAAATAGCTGCGGTTATCCTGAGCAACGAATGCGTTTTCCTCTTCCATGAAAAACTTTTGGGACTACTAAACTTTTGGGGGGCTAAACTTAAAATCACAAACTCTGAAAACCTACAGCATTTTTACACAGAGCCACTGAAATATATTATCGTTTTGATCCCTTACTCATTGATTTAATGTTATTATCTTACATTTCAAAATGAGAATTTATTTTATGTGGGAGAAAAGGTTGTTTTCTGGTTAGATGGCTTTTTTTTTTAATATTGGATTAAGAAATCCCTCAGTTTAACATTGTCACAAAGAAACATTATTTTTCTAATTTTTTTTTTTAATAATCCCTAATCTCAAGTAGTTCAAGCCTGCAAGAGAACACTACCGGCAGACCAAAGAGACAATAAATAGGCTGAGTATGGGAGAAAACCGTTCCCACCCAGTGTCAAATCCAGCAGAGCATTATCCCACACCCAGAAACACAGACCCAGCAACCCGTGCTGTACCTGCGATGTTCGACACCCGGAAAGCTTCCTGGTTCTTTGGCGTTTTTGATCGATTCTGGCTTCTTTGCTTCCCTCCCGTGGAGCGAATACTGCGCAGATGGACCTCGGTGGCTTTGAAGAAGGCTACCGTGAACGGCTGCTTGTTCTGCGGACCGTGCCTTCCAATAAGACCCGCCAGTTTGGGATTGATGCTTTGCCCTTAGAAACAGAAGGGACTGATAAGAGGGCCTGCAGTAACTTTTCATTTTCAGCAGACATAGTAAGGATAACAAGGAGGAGAGCTGCTGCCTGGCGGGTAAGGGCGATTCCTAGGCGTGTCTGTATGCGTCGATCCGCCAAGGGCCTGGACTTAATCGGCAAAGCTGCTTCTGACAAGAGCAGCTCAGCACAGCTAACTTCATTTTATATCTGCGTGTAAAAGTTACATAAAATAGTCCTACATATAATTATTTTACCCTAAATCCGCTTAGCATTAACTTTTCCTGCATTCTTTAGAGGGGTTTCTTTAAGTTCACCAACCTATAATTTGAAGTGATCCTATAAAAGGAACCATAAAACTCAGCCCATAGGAACACTAAATTCCCACTGGAAGGTTATTAACTTAAAATAAAAGTGCTTTGTATGAAATGTTGACAGAGTTCCAGATATACTGTAGCTGAGAGAAATAGTTCAGATGTTTAGAGACATTTTGCTTATTGTTGTATCTCAGCACTACTGTACCCAATAACTTTGTTCTAAAACTGTTGATTACTGTTCATGCTTCCTTCATCCTGGGCTTTTAAAAGAATTTTATTTTTGGTAAAAGATGATTAGGGGGTTTCTCTGTAGAATGAAATCAATTATTTACAAAAGACGCAAGGAGCGGGCGGCAGCAGGAAACTTAACGTTTCTCCCTGTTGCCTCCAAAGGGTGTCCGGGCGCTGTTGTCAAATGCAGGGGCGATATCCAGATTTATTCTGTTCCAAGCTACTGAGTACTGCTGCTAAGTTGAAGTTCTGTTAATGGCTTTTGTGATCCTTTTGCTAAAGACAGAGCTGGGCCCTGTCAGCCACAAAGCAAATATGCCAAAGGACAGCTGACACTTTCCTAGAGAAGCCCTGAAAGGCAGCCTGGCCGGGGAGAGCAGGCGAGGGGCTCTACAGTCCACTGACAAAAATGTCCTTACCTTACTAGTTTCTGACTACCATGTGAAAAGAAGCTGGTAACCTGAAATATTTCTAGGTAATATTATATAACCACTGTTTTTAAGATGAGTAAAGTAAATGCCAAGGCTTATAAATGATTGTCTTCATGGAATTGTTTCCATCTTTGCTCTTGCACGTGGCCAAAAGATTGGTAAAGGTGACAGACCCAGAAAAAAGGGGGCTGTGGTCAAAGCTCGAGGCCAAGAAATGGACCTGTGTCTGCTGGAATCCATTCTTTATATTTCTAAAAGCGTGCAGCCCAGCGAGCAAGTCCCAAGCTGCAATAGATGGGATTTGTGGAGAGTACTGGCCCAAGAGGTGTTTTAATGGCAGCTTGGCAGCAGGACGGCTGCCCGTCGTGGCTCGGTCCCATGGCAGTCTGTCTGCGGAGCAGTGGGGCCAGGCCTTGTAAACTAGACAAAGCAAAACTAATCTCAGGGAAAAGCTTGGGCGAAAATAGCAAATGCAAAAACTCATGTACGTAGATTTATATGTGGACACACATCAACAACTTCTTCACCTTCTGCTTAAGCTCCTTTCCAGAAATTTGTCCAAACAGTTTTCATTTTAAACATTTGAGGCTGAGCCCACAAAGTGCTTAAGCAAGTAGTTAATGCTAAATATATAAGTAGTTCCACTTGTGCTCAGGCTTTGCCAGATCGAAACCTTATTTCCTGAAAACAAGCTCAGCTGCAGGAGTTAGAGCTCACTGAATACTGCTCCTATGGCTTTTCCTGCCCCTTCAAAGAAGCCTTTCTGCTTCCCCAAGCTGTTTAAACTAGCAAGTACATCTACAGCTGTGGTTTGTCCAGTGTAAATTATTTTACCTTCACCATGTCTCTAGAGAGTAGGTCAGCAGTGGGCAGGGAGGGGACCCAGCTTCACACTGATATGTTTAATGGATTTGCATTAGCGCAGCAATAAGTAGCATTTGACCAATGAATTCCTCATGTAACACCAACACGTCATGTTCAAGACCATTATGGTGGCAATGTTTCCTTAGGGGAAAAAAAGGCATGTAGTGCCTATGCTATGCGAAGTAGCATATTTCTTTTTAATAAAGATGGGGAAAATCCACTTTCTAACTTTCCTATACATCCAGAAAGCAAGGTTAAACACAAGGACACGTGTGTAGTCCCCATTAGACAATGATAAACTTCTCCCAAAAGAACTAAAGCTGTGCTCTTGAACCAGAGGGCACGGCTTTATCTGCTTTTATGAAGCTGCTTTTTTAATACTGTCAAAAATGGGATCTCAAGTAATAAACTAAGTAAACCTAAGTGGGCAGCTGCTGTTCCCGCGTGCTGCTGCCGAGCAAAGCATATCGGGTGCTGGGCTGAGAGCTCGCTGAAGGCTACTGAGTCACTCGAACGTTTCTTTTGCTTGCTGCTTGAGCTGATCCCCGTTTTCTAAGAGTAAACAAATACCCTTTGATTCCACCCTAGTTATACACGTTGATAGACTTATTTGGCAAGATTATAAAGAAACACAAAGATCAGTTTAATTAATTTCTTTTGTATAATTTTATCTGGACAGTGCTCGTGATGTCAGAATTTTTTTTACATAAACTGTATTGGCTCTATGGTTAGAGATCTCTATATGTAATGACAAATACAAAGAAAAGTTTTTTTTTTTTTTTTCCTAATTCACTTAAAGCTTTGGAGATTGCCCAAGCATATAGTGTTGCATCAAAATCCTGCTGTGTTTGCAGCGTATGATTTTCATATGAAGTCCAGGTGTAAAAGCAGCTTTCTCGTTAGCGCACACAGTTGGTCTAAATCCAAAATGAAACTTGGGGAGCAAGGAAGGACATGTCCTTGCCATTCAAAATAGAAAGAAAAATTCATGTGTATGGTGGAGAAATGTGAGTGCAAAGGTGTGCTGCCAGGGGACTTGGTTACAGAAGACAAGCAGACAATCGGCTCCTGTATCTCTGTATTTACTTTTTAAACACTGCAGTTGGCTTTTCTAACTTTAATGACAGACTGATTAAAGTATTTTGTTAATCTATTTTGAGAAAGCAGCAAGTCACTTTGTGTATGATTTCCACCCTTTACAAACTCAGCTAGATTTTTCAGGAGAAACCAGATTCCTAATTTTCATTGAGTTGCATAACAGATGAGAATGCACTGAACCTGGGAATTTCTGTCTTTGAAAGCTTTCTCTGTGATAGATCTGGCTGTATGCTCTTAAGGGTCCACTCCTGATTGCTCCAGTAGAGCAGCGAGAGTTACCGTAGGCGTGTGCAAAGTTGCAGCATTTCCTTGGATGCAGGATCCTGAAAAGTCTCCATTGAAATCTGTAACATATTCATAAATCAGCTGCCTTCCTCCTTAATGCTGGAAAAAGGGATTGACTTTTGCTCTAAAATCACTAGGTAAGGATGGGGAAGGACGGGGCGATAAGAAGACTTTATTGGTAGAAGAGTGAGTGTGATACTGTAGTACCCATAGTATTTAGAGATATTAAGCCTACTTCCAGCTATTGCTTTTCTGTGGACTCTGGGCTGGGTCTTGATGGTTTTCCTATACGTGAACCACAACTGAACAAATGTGCCATGATTGTGACACAACTTCTGTACTTCCAAGTATTTCCTTTAGGAGGCAAACTGGAAACTAAAAACAAGGACAAGTGTTCGAAAACAGGTTAAGCTTGTCTTGGCTGTTAACTTGCCTTACTGTTTTAGCTTTAAGAGTTAAGATTAACTTGTAAATCAGGTTGAATTTGAATCTTTATACAAAGATGGCAAAAGTAATCTGTCATTGGGGTGGGGACTAGTAACTTCCATGGTGAAGCTCCTGCTTTGTATCTGTGTTTGGGTTTCTGCGTTCACTGATCACTCAGAAAGGGCAGGTTAAAACAAACCTTGTGCACCTCTGTGTGCAGGTCTCACATGAGTAAAATCACCCTTTCATGTAAATGACTCTCCGTAGGTTGCCTGTTTCAAAACTGCTTTGCACAGTCTTTATGCAAAATACTACTTACTGGAAACGTTCAGAGTGTTGCATAAAAACTAATAGCAAGTGATATCATAGATGCATATCTGGAGAATGAAAGTATGTCCTTAGATAACTACATTCAGAGTACTTGTAATAGTCTTGAACTGGGCTTTGCTTAATCTCTCCTGTGGGGCAGCCAGGCAGTTCCAGATGGTCCCAGGTCCTGGGAACCCCCGAGAAGATCCAGGATACTTTGGTTTCCTTGCACAAGTCTCTAAGTGAACATCAGGAATCTTAACTTTAAGACAAAGCAGCGTGACTTTTTAGTTAAAACCTGGTTAGGAAAATTCCCCGCCTGATTCTAAACACATCCTTTCTGGAGATGTTTCAGAGCCAGGTCTTCCCACCCATTCCCAAACTTCACAGGTTTGTACCATAAGCATGCTGCAGACCTTGGAGTCCAGACCAGGCACAACTTTACTAGTCATTGCTACTGCCACAAAGGAAATTAAAATGGTTCTGAGCTGTTTTCTGAATCTGAAAGGACTCTTGAGCCAGTTAACACCAGCCTTCTACCTCACTCACTTGTGTCTTTTCGCACATAGCAAAGTTTCTTCCTCTGTCCTCGACTGGATTGCACTACCTGCAAATCAGCCAGCAGCGTATACATACCTCGATGGGGATGTGTACATAGCTAATACTGAAATGACTGCAGACAGGTTACCAATCTGTTAAAGCATTTGAGTACATCCTTAACCTGAAATATGGCTATGAATTATTTTTTTATTATTATTATTTGCATCTTAGGCAAATTCAGGAAAAACACGGTTAAGAAATTCTATTCAAAGGAAAGCGTACTGAATGCTTAAGGCTTCCCCGCTTCCCCTGGCTGGGAATCGTATACCTGAAATGGAGACCCACTGATTGATGTTGGTGTCTGACACTCACCATCGATGCCTTCCACGGATAGCTGCAGGCCAAGATTGTGTTGGGGATTCACCACCCAGTGATTACTGGTTGCGGTAATGTCAAACACCAGCCACCCTTCTTCTGCAGCCCAGATTGTTCGAGAGTCGAGCAGGAACAAATCTGAATCCCTGAAAAAAAGAAGCGTTAATTCCCAGTTACCGGGCTTTCCACTGGAGTCTCTATAGACATTCACATACATGCTTTAAGCAAAACACTTGGTCGGCCTTTCAGCAATAGGCAGATTATGCCAGAGCCGGGCTGGCGTGCTTTCCTGTCTAATCACCTTCAGATGAAGCGCTTTTCTGCTATTTAAAAAAGGGAGGATGGGTTGAAGCAGAGTTGAGGTGGTTTTGGGTTACTTTGCTGTTACAGTTAACCTTAGAGCTGCTGATGCAACTTCAGAAAAAATGCTTGCCAGGCACAGATTTGCAAAATTATTGTTTGCATATGCAAACTTGGTAATTGGGCAGACAATGCTGCTCATTATCCTTTCCACACATAATTTCCTGACTCTTATGCATAATTGTAGCATTGGTGCAAGCCAGCTGGAACACTGGTGTGCATATATTAACATATGTAATGATTTTTTTTTTATTTTTTTGTCTGAGGTTACAGATAATTGATTGAGGCAATAACCCTCTGCACAGTCACAGGTCTGCGTTACTTTGGATGGCAATTTTCTTTCAATTCATTGCTTGAATTTTTTAAAGGCCACTGCTGGGTTATTCTGGTTGAAGAAATACCAGAAAATGAGAAAGATCAGAAATAGAGAGGATTTCATGTATTTGAAAAGGGTGAAATCATTCTGGATTTACAAAACATTTCCTGGCAAATTGCTGTAAAAAGAAAATTTGAGAAAACACAGGTTCTGTAAAGGAAGGAATCTTCTCTTATCAGAAATTAAGAAAGAGATAAAACTTGGATGAAAAAAATGGATAGTGGTGCAGTTCCTTTATAAAAAACGACTTTACAAGAAGAACAAAGAAACACGGTGGAAGTGTCTAGACAAGTCCCGTAAGAGCTGCTTTTGTACTTACAGTGCACAAACATGATAACTTGTTTAAGTGTAATTATATCCTTTTGAATGAAGAAATATCCGTGGAAAATCCTTTAATCATGTCCTCAAAGCTTAAAGAAGGACTTATAAATTTTGTCACTACTGATTTGTCAGTGCAAATAAATATAACCTAGTTTACACAGTTCCTCTTGTTTGCACAAAATATCAAGTGATCAAAAATGAATCTGAGAAGTGCTGTCGGCACAGAGGCTTTTGTCTCACAGCTTTTAGTGATTCTTTTCCCTGTGAGATACCAAGAAATTAGAGGCTTTTGTCCCACGCAGATGACTCAAAACAGAAATGGAGTTTTCTTGCAATGTTTTTACTATCTAGCTTTCCTTTCAACCTTTGTGGACCAGGGCGTATAAGAGATGATGGCTTTTCTCCGTGAGCTAATGGATGTCACCGCCTCTGGCTCTGTGCTGGCTTACATGAAATTAAACTTCTGAAATTAGTTCCCGCAGAGCACGTGAGCACATCGCCCCGCGTGCGTAAAAGGAGGATTCTGTCGTTTTCTCACCAGTGCATGATGCTGTTAACCTTTGGATACGACATGACTGAATATGTAGATACAGCCAACGCTGCTGAGGGTGCAATTAGTGCTGCATGTGGCAGCCTGAGCAAAAGCAGTGCCTTTCTGTGTCAGCTCAATTCAGAAAGAGGAGGCAAGGTCTGATGCTTGCAAGAGATGTTTTGCAGGCGTGGGATTGTAACAACTGCAATTCCTCCCTTCGCCCAGCACATCTCTGCCATGGAGGAAGGCACGGGAGAAGGAGTTTTGCTTTCTTTTAAACAAAGTTTTGGATTGTGGAAGAAGCCCTGCATCAGCATTGAACTTGCTGCAACACTTTCTTGCTAACGCATAGGGGGTCCTATGGGGGAGTATTTTGGTGATGTTTGGGCAGCCAAAGCAGGTGGCTTAGGTAGGGGCTGTGGTGCAGCGAAGGAGAGCCTCAGCCCAGGTGTTGGGAGCTGCTCTCAGAAGCTCAGTCAGCTTTGCTGGGTGCACCTAGGACAGCTGAAGATAAACAGTATGGATAACCCCCTCCTTCCACATACGCATTATTTACAGGAATGTAAGATGCTTGAACTCTAACCGGGGGACAAATTTCCTGGGGTTTCATCCCCACCCAGAAGCAGTGGCCCTGTTCCCACTGTGCATGACGCAGCCGCATGGACACCTCCCGCCCTTCCCTGTTTACAACACGCTGAACAAAACGCATCCCAGAGGAGCCAGGGACAAGGGAGTAGTACGGATTGGCCCGTTCCGATGGCTGAGTCCAAGTTTCCAGAAGTAAAGGGTTTTTATATTCACATACTGCATCATTTAAGCATGGCCCCTGACTGGAACTCATGATTCACACAAGGTTTAGTTAATAGGGACTTGGCTTGCTTGGGTTTTCTCCCTTGTACTTTGCAGGTTGAAGATAATAGCAATAATGATAACTTTTTGTTTTTAGCTACTGCTCAACTGCAGTATTACTCAGAAAAACCAGCCTTTAAGCTTCCCATGCTGACATGATGCAATCAGGGTAACCAGACAACATGAGGCATCAAGTACCAGGGTGAGTCAGTCTGGGAAATTGTATAATGCGTTTGTTTTCCTGTAGTTACAGCAATGTGCAAACAATAGGCCTGGAGGGGAAGCCCGAAGTGAGAGAGATCAAAGGGACTCACTAAAGGGAAATGTCCTTCCCACACACACTTGGAACATTTGGACCCAAAAAGGCCCCGTGTCAGATGCTCTCTGGAGAAGTTCAAGCACTCCTGGATTAGCACTTTCCACTCTGGCCCACCAGCAGCGGTTGGGGATGGGATGCAAAACCTGACTGGTGTTGCAAGCAGAGGCTCCTGAGATTGTGGCGCCTGTTCCGATGAAAAGAAACCTCTTGTTCTTTTTAAAAGAACACCCTTCCTTTAAGTAAAATGCCCTGCTCTCCAAAGACTTATGGCAAACAGCGTTAAATCACTAGCTAAGAGACAGCAAGCCCTTTAGACATCGTTGTTGGACAACACATAATAAACACGGCAAAGAAATGTTATTCTGCTTAGACTTAAACAAAATTTGCTCTGAGGGCTCCCGTCTAATGAGTTGTCATATGAGACAAGGCTAGTTAAGTCTAACTGATGTGGCTGGTTTGGGTTTTAGGTTTGAGATAAAGATCAAAGCACAAAGGGAAAAGGTTTCTAGTGCACATCTCACCCTCTGTTACCTTACCTACAAACCGTACGTATATTTAGAGCATTCTTGGAGCAATGTGAATAATGGCTCTGCAACCAAGAGGCAGAAAAGCACTTGGGTTCCTTGGCCCTGCATTCAATCCCTTCATTTGAGAACTTCAGAGCATGTGAGAAACTGTACTGAACCTCCTACCAGACCAAGAGATAGGAAGAGGCACGTGATCCTCGTTTTACAGAAAATTAAGCTGGGACATGGAAATGTTAATGTCTCGATTAGAGTTACATAAACGATGAAGTCTGGATCCAGACCACAAGTATGTTTTGTTGAGACCACATCAAAATGGCTCAGCGTTCAAAGTACTTACATCAGCGGGAGTGTCAAAGCTTTTAGCAATGATAAAACTCAGGGCTTTCAGCTCAATTTTCTCAAGCATTGGGCTGTCGATGGAGGACAGGAGGTTGGCACTTGCCTACTGATCACTTCGGTAGTGTCTGGCGCTGGATGCCAGAAAGCAGAGGCACCTCCCGTTAGCACTCCCAAAAATTAGTCTACAGGTCATATAACTGCTGTGTGGTCTATGGAATTTCCTTAGTGAACTTGGTGTTTTCTGGACTCAAGGGTGAATAACAAGTATTGCAAAGTGAGGGTGGCTGAGGAGGATGCATGTGAGATCGTGTCTGGAAAGCAGCTGGCGTTACGGAGGTAGAAGGGCTGAAGCTGCCAAAGGGCTGTGTGTGACCAGGGATGTGGAGGGCGGGTGGCATGAGTGGGATAAGAAAGGGAATCACAGGGGATTAGTGGAAGAGAAAAGGACTGGAAGAAGTGAGGTTTGTGGGGGTGAGTAAAGAAATAAGGGGAGACAAAATACAGAAAAGGCAAGTAAGAGTATCCTGAAGGGAAACAGTGAGGAAGAGAATTGCCACATCGCAATGCAGTAATTCTAAGATAAGAAAAAGGATTAACAACCAAGAAGCTTCATGAAAATACTATGTATGGGCTCTTTGCCTTTTGCTGGGGTATATTTTCAGCCTCTAGAATGCACTTTGGTTTGTAGCCATAAACACTAGAAATGTATCTAAAAATCAGAAGTGCAGCATCTCTCCTAATCACCTGCCTTGAGGAGTTGGGGCATGAGAAAGCACATGGACTAACAAGAGAGACTCAGTGAAAGTATGAGAGTTGGCAATTTTGCAATAGCAAGGGAGAACAGGAGATGAAACTCTGCATTTGTAAGCTATAATGCTATAAGGTCTCTACTGCTTTAGGGTAGCCTTCTTACCAAACAGCACCTGCTTTTGCATCTGGTTTCTTCACTCACTTTCCCCATCCGCCTTGTCAGCTCTGTTATTTCAAGCTGCTGGTTGACAAGTGGTAGTAAACACTAATGAGCACTTCCAAATGGGATAAAAATAAATAGGAAGAAGGACAGCAGCGGAAGAGAAGGTGACTCTCGGTAACTTTCATTACGTTGCAAGCCAGGTTGATTTCTGTGACATGCTGGCACTCGGGGTTGTGGGCAGACCTGGAGCCCTGGCTCACCTGGCCGTGTCCCGGCAGCAGCCAGCCCAGGGCCACTGCCAGCAGGTCCTGCAGTCCCCTGCCTTTGTTCAGGTAATCTGCCAGCCCAAAGAGCACACCGAGGCTGCCTGGCAGCTGCACCACTCTAATACCTACCTGCTAGTTTGAGGAATTACAGATCTAGCAGTGTTTTAAACAATAACCATACTGTGACACCTTGCAACAGACTTCAAATTGCTTTACAAATATGGGTCAACCCTCCTGCTTCCGTTTTAAAGTGGGAAACACTTGAGGCACAGATATGTTAAATGTCTTTCTGACTTGGCATGTAAACCACAGCCACTAAGCCAGGAGCATAATCCTGTCCTCTT